CTCCATGGATTATCTAGTTGGGCCAAAACCCATATGATGCTCCATGGATGCTCCATGGTGTATTTGAACCCATGGATCCAAGGAAATAGAAAGTCATGACAATTAGAGTTTACCCTAATTGTAACACTATATATAGATATTATTCTTGACAAAATCAGGCCACTAGATTATTCTAGAGAGGGCTAGCCGATTTTATGAAGTGTAGAATTCTCTCAAGTTATTCCAAGAGTATTTGGTGTTGTGTGAACCATTTGAGGTGTCACACTTGGGGCACTAGGCACTCAAGCTTCATGAAGACAAGCACCATCAAAGAGGTATGTATTCTATCTTGTTATATTGATAGTTTTGTATGCTAGATTAGGATAATACCTTGGATGTTCATATTTGCATGTATAATAGAGAAAACATAGATCCAAGGTATTTAGGGTTGCATCTACACTTACGAGTGTTAGAATGCTCATAACCCAACACCTGGAAGGTTGAATTTGACCATGACTTTGACTATGACCAGGGTTTACTTAGTTTGACTTATGGAGGTCAGTTTGGGACTAAGTGTTATATTGATATTGAAGCTCGGGGAACTATTGGAGCAGCGGTTGGGGAGTTGTCAAATAGCGGTTAGAAGAGTATCAGTCAGAGCTTCAGTAGTGCAAGGTGAGTTTTCCCTTTGTGTGGATGGGTCTACGACCACAATGCCAACCCATGTAGATATGAGTAGGAAGGCCCGGGGGTTAGCCCTAGGCACTGTATGCTAGTATGATATTCAAGACCAAGGTCTAATGTTAGCGGGCGGGTGCCCAAGGATCAGTTTACATGATAGTTTATACGTGTTGTCTGTGTGATACATGTATATGCCTGGTAGGAAGGTGAGTGTGAGCGAGGTATCATATCTCACCAATAGCAGATGGTGGACGGTGTTCCATACCTCATTAGTAGTAGAGCAGGGGATAAACACTAGATAGGAGTGGAGTGAGTGTGGGCAGTATCTCACTTACAGCAGGAGCTTGGATGGGGTTCCATGACTCACTAGTAGCAGGTCAGGGGCGAGGCCCAAGACTGGCGAGGCCTTAGTATATGAATGCAGTAGGGTATGCTCACTTTATGTGTTATATGCCATTGTTATATGTAGTATGTGTTCAGCGGGCAGGGCCTAAGAAAAATAGATATGTATCCGAGCGGGGCTCGAAGACAGGCGGGGCCTGGGATCGGCGGGGCCAATGCAGCGGGCGAGGCCCGGAGTAGCGGGCGTGGCCCAATATATGTAGTATGTGATTATGCAGGGTATGTGGTAGGTTGGGGAACTCATTAAGCTTCGTGCTTACGGTTTTTAGTTTTGGTTTCAGGTACTTTCGGTAGCAGAGGGAAGTACTCGGGGTGATCGCATGGCACACACCATTGATTAGTCGGCCTGGGATGTTTTACTCTGATAATGGAATTATGTTTTGGAATTAACACTCTGAATTATGTTAGGATTTATTTATGGTTTGAAAATTATGATTTAAGTAATGTTTTAAAAAGAAATTTTTAGAATGTATTTTTTTGGGACGTTACACGTGACCTTAGGTGCCACAACATGGCAGGTGTTTTTAGTGAAAACCCTAATTTCGAGCATTGAGTCCTATATAAAGAACATTAAGCCTAGGCTTTCGTGATCATTCAACCTCTATCTCCCTCTCAACCTCATAAACCCTAACCATAGCCTCCATTAAAGTTGTGAGCTCTTTCCTGGAGATTTTTGGTGATTTTTTAAGGAGAAGGAAACCCTTGGTATAGTAGTTTTTTGGCAAACATCAGTTTCTTCAGCTAACAATCTCCTAGACCTTGGTGAGTGTCCAAGATCCAGCCTTTTTCTTGCTATTTTACTAGATCTCTTGATTTTGTCCCCTTTCTTAATGTATTGATGGATTTGAATATTGGGATCTCATAAAGTTTGGGACTTTATGAATCTCCAGGTCAAATAGAGTATTTGGTGTCTTGGATCTGAATTATGAATGATTTTTGGTATCATGCACAGAGTTTTGGTTATTGAACCCTAGTTTTTGATATAAAATGTAAAGGACATGCATGTCCATAAAGCCACAATATTTAGGGTTTTCTAAGAGTATGAAGTCATTCTGGAAACTTTGGAGGTGAAACTCTAAGGATTAGGTTCTTAATGATAGTCTTAATGCATTAAGTTGTCTTTAGGAGTTAGGGTTTGGGATCTTGACTTATTGAGGGGTCTTGAGGAATAAAGTAGGAACCTTTATTCATTTAGAGCATGGAAAGAACTAGATATGAGCTATGGAGATCTTAGAATCAAAGAAAACGACTTAAATAATTAAGTTGTTCGGAACCAGTGCCCACGACATGGCGACTGGGCTAGATCCGACTGTTTTGTCATTTTGCTACCACGACATGGCCAGGATGGCTACGATGTGGCGATCAGTTAGAGTTGACTTTGACTTTTGACTGTTGACTTTGACCACATGTGACTTAGGGGCATTTTGTGTATTTTGAGCTGAAGTTTGAGTATAGGTCATTGTTTGTTGTATACGTAACCTGTAGAGTTGGCATCTGGAAGAACGTTCATTTCTGCTACCTTTCAGGTTGTGAGGTAAGTTTTCCTCACTGTACTTGAGGGTCGAAGGCACCAATGTTGATCCATTGGATTATGTATCATGGTATATTGGATTGATGTTCTGTTGAGTGTGCCTTAGATTGGTAGACCTATATGATTACCTGTGTTCACTGAGTATGCACTAGATTGGCAGATATGTATGATTACATGTGTTGTTGGTTATTGGTTGTTATTGTATGTGTTGAAATGTTATGGTTGATGGGTTGAGATGGTCCCGCTTTGTGCTGAAGGCCAAGATACCCGGGGTGATTCGGATAGACTGAAGGCCTGCAAGGTGGTCCAGTCTAGACAATGGCCTGGAGAGCGATCTAGATAGGCTGTAGGTCCTACGAGGTGGTCTATTCAAGGTGAAGGCTCATATTATGTATGTTGTTATCTGTTTGGTTGTGTGTGATACTTTGGGGAAACTTACTAAGCTTTGGCTTACAGTTTAAGTTTTATGTTTCAGGTACTTCAGATGATCGCGGGAAAGTAAATGTGTGATCGTACATATCCTTTGGTGATACATTTTGGAGATGTTATGATACATTGATTTTGGAACAATTGTACTTGATCTTCTGTTCTTATTACTTGGATTTGATTAAAAATGAAAACTTTTTGTGATTTTGGGATGTTACACTAAACTTTGTTGTGTGGACCAAATCTACCAAAAGATTTTGCATAGACTAAGGGGGTGTTTGCTTTTTCTCTGCAGATTTACGTGATCTCTTCCATCTGCACGATGCAGACCACGTGCATACATAAAATGTTTGCAATGCATTTGTTTTTCTAAAGTGCACAGACATAAAAATGTCTGCGTGAGGTCTTCACCACACAGTCATGGGCTAGCCTCTTCTAAAGTCTGCGGAGTGCCTTTAACCTAAAAAAACACGCGTTTCTTTCTTTTCTATCTGCAACTATATTCTTCCAAACTTCTTTCCCTCGTAGCCTCTACCGTCAACCACTTCCTCTTCGCTCCGGCACCGTTCGTCGTTCATCACCTCTGATCAGCACCGCCACCCATCGTCGCCCTCATTTCCGATTGCAGGCGACCAGGCGATAAGCACCATCTCATCTCCGATTTCAGCGGACATGTTTTTTCCCTTTCTCGTTGTTTTTTTTTTCAGTTCCAACATGAAATTGAGGATTAATCTTGCTAGAAAACTCTCAAATGTATTGAATTTCTTGTTTTTCGATATTGGAAATCCGAAAATATTGAAGAAAGTAGATTTTCTTGCTTCAAATTCTTGTTAAATGTTGTTGGAAATCAATTTTTCTCCATAACATTGCTGAAAAAATCTAGTTAAATTTGTTGTTTGATTGTGTTTTTTTTGGCGGAAATAGTTATGATTCTTGCTGTTTTTGTTTTTTGTTGTTTTTTTTTTGTTGTTTTTTTTGCTGATATTGTTGTTAAAATATGCTAAAAGTTGTTATTTGGTTTTGGAAATATGAAATAATGATGTTAATTTGTTGTTTGATTGTTTTTTTTACTAAAATGATTATGATTCTAACTGAAAATACCTTTTTTTTTTTTTGCTGAAATTGTTGTTAGAACGTGTTGAAAATTGTTATTTGGTTTTGGATATATGAAATAATGATGTTAATTTGTTGTTTGATTGTTTTTTTATTACTAAAATGGTTATGATTCTTGCTGAAAATACTCTTTTTTTTTTGTTGAAATTATTGTTAGAATGTGCTGAAAATTGTTTTTTGGTTTTGGAAATATGAAATAATGATGTTAATTTGTTTTTTTCTATAGAAATGGTTATGATTCTTGCTGAAAATGCTCTTTTTTTTTTTTTTTTTGGCTGAAATTGTTGTTAGAATGTGCTGAAAATTGTTATTTGGTTTTGGAAATATGAAATAATAATGTTAATTTGTTGTTTGATTGTTTTTTTTTTGCTGAAAATACTCTTTTTTTTGTTGAAATTGTTGTTAGAATACGATGAAAATTGTTATTTGGTTTTGGAAATATGAAATAATGACGTTAATTTGTTGTTGATTGTTTGTTTGTTTGTTTTTTTTTTTTTTTTTTTTTTTTTTTTTTTTTTTGAAATGGTTATGGTTCTTGCAGAAAATACTTTTTTTTTTTTTTTTTTTTTTTTTTGCTGAAATTGTTGTTAGAATGTGCTAAAATGTGTATCATATGCAATACCTTATGAAATCAGATTTGTGAATGTTGCAATACCTTATCAAATCTGATTTGTCTATGATATAATTATTGTTAGAAATGAGAGAGAAACAACAATAGACCAATGAACATTTAAAATGCTTATTGGATACTTGTATTGAAGAAGTAGAGAATGTAGGTAGAAAATGATTGAGTTTGAAGAAAGATTCATGGATAAGGCTTGGAAGAGTTCTTAAGGAAAAATTTGGCATTAATTTGACTAAAAAACAAATGAAAAATGCATATGACAATTTGAAAACCAAATACACAGGATATGTATATTTGAAAAACAAAACTGACAATATATACAATTCTCAAACAAACACTTTTAACTTAACAACAGAGGAATAAGATGATTTTAAGAAGGTACACACACACACACACACATATATATATATATATATATATATATATATATTATAATAATTACGTTTGAAGTTGCCAGATATTCTTATACTATTTTTTTTTGTTACATTTGGGTTTAGGGGCATCCGAAGGTTGCTTTATTGAGAACAATTCCACTGCCTTTTCCAGATCTTTGTGCACGTCTTATTGTTGGAAATAGTGCCACTTGTAATTTTAGGAGTTACTCAACCCAATCATCATCAATAGTTGGAGCATCCTCTTGTCGTGTTCCGCTACTTCAAATTACGGCCACCTCTTTTCTTGCAATAGATGATGATGGTGATGACACTTCCCATCATGATAGTGAGCCTTTTCATGAGCCACCATCTTCTGTTGCTTCACCTTCGGCTGCTTTACCCTATGCTGCTTCACCCTCCAATAATCCCAACAAAAGAGCTAAACCTTGAACTCATACAACTTCTAGTGCCTCACCGTCTGCTTCTTCACCTGATGGAACTTCTATTACTGTTGACAATTTAGCATTTGAAATGAAAAAAGCTCTATAAATTTTGACTAAAGGGTATACAGCTCCTTAATGTTTAGAGAAGTTAGAGGTGCTTCAGTTAGGCCCTACAGATCCTTTACGTTTTGTTGCATCTCATATTTTTGGAGGGACCATGAACATGAAAGAGAGATGTGGATGCATTTTCCTGATGTTCCCAAGATATCACGAGGATGTCTTGAGATGACGGGTACAAGTTTAGGAGTCTTGAAGGACGAAAAGATTGTCCGATGATTTTTCTTTTGTTGAAACTATATGTCAGGCCTTTTTGCCTTTGTTGGAACTATTTGTTGTTATTTTGCTACTTAGAATATGATTAATGCAGTGTTATTTTGCTACTTGAAATATGATTAATGTACTATTATTTTGCTACTTGAAATATGGTTAATGTAATGTTTTTTTGCTACCTGAAATATGATTTATGTAATATTTTTTAAAGTTCTACTTTGTTGATTTTAGGTTCATAATGGATCACAATCAAAAGATACTTCTCGTAATTCTTATGTACCTGTACATTCGTTATTTTTGGAAGAGGGGTGTGAAACGATTGCAGGATAATGATTCGGAAATGATGGGACATGAATACACATTATAGTTATTGCATCATAATCGTTTACAATGTGTTGAAGTACTATGCATGTCCCATGACTCTTTTGTACCACTATGTGCTCATTTTGGAGCAAACTACTCATTAAAGCATAGCAAACATGTATCAGTTGAGGAAAAAATGGCTATGTTTTTTATGATGATCAACCATAATCAGCGTTACGTGATTATCAAACGGAGATTTCAACACTCGAAGCAAACAATCCATAAATTATTTTATGAAGTGTTAGAAAAAATGATGATTATCGCACAAGACATTATAGTACCAACTTCTTTTAATCCAAATCCAAACATTCCAGGACATAACAGAAGGCTACACCGGGTTTTCAAAGGGGCGGTTGGTGCACTTAATGACACTTTGATACATGCTGTTGCGCCTGCTAAGAAATAAAACTTATATGGAAGTAGGGGAAATGGAGATTGATACCAAAACATATTGGTAATTTGCGACTTCAATATGATTTTTACATTTGTTGTGGCCGGGTGGGAAGGGGTAGCGCATGACTCTAGAATATTATCAGAAGCACTACTCGTTCCACAAACATCATTCATGTTTCCACCACCAGGTAAGTTTTTGGTTTTTTAAATATTTTTATCTTAGTTTGAAAACTGATTATTGTTTTGCATTTTTTATAGACAAATATTATCTTTGTGATGTCGCGTATGCACACACTCGAGGATTTATGGCCGCTTATCGTAATGTGATGTATTCTCTTGGAGATTTTCGTCACAGTCGTGCATTGACCAATAAAAAAAATTTAACCATAGGCATGCAAAACTTTGGAATGTCATTGAGCGTGCTTTTGGTGTTCTGAAAGCACGATTCCCTATATTGAAGAGGATGTCACCATACCCGTTTGTTACACAATGAAACATTGCCATGGCATGTTTCACGCTTCATAATTTATAAGGAAAGAAGAACTGAGTGATGAGTATTTCGCACGATACGATGAACCCAATATCCTGTTTCGAAATAACAATGTGGTTGTTGATGATGATGAAGATGAAATTCCAACACATGGTACTGTAGCAGACTGTAAATATTTGACTCAGTTACATGATGAAATTGTTGAGCAGCTGATGCATAATATAAATTGAATTGTTTAAATGAAATTGTTATTATAAAACCATTTTTATTGTATGACTAATTTAGATGCATGAATTTTATTTTTAGTGTTATGACTATTATTATTAAAATTTTGGTGTTGAAAAATCATTTTAAGTTTGTAAAATCATTTTATTTAAAATTCAATTTATTTCAACAGCCTACAGATGTTAAAAAACAAATAGTCTTCTTATTGCAGACTGCAGACATTTGATCCAGTTTTTCTAGTTGCAGAGGTTTGCAGATGTGGTCCGCAGACTACATACATTTTGGTTTCAGAAAAACAAACAACACCTAAGTTTATCAAAATACAAAACCTTTGTTGTAAATACTAAATTTGCTTAAATATAAAACATTTGTTGCAAGGACTAAATCTTTCAAAATATAAAACCTGTGTTTGTAGTGACTAAATCTGCCAAAATGAAAAATACAAGGACCAAAACAGAGGATTACCAGTACTAATGTGTCATTTTCTTAAAATGGGCTTACTGCGAGGTTCATAAGCCTTATAAGAATTACTTATGTATGATTTTCATAACGGGTTATGAGAATTAATTATGTATATAATTTATATATTTATTAGTTATAAATTAATTATTCAAATAAAAGTTCAATACATATCGATTGAAGGCAAACGGGCAACAAGCTGCGCCACTAGTCCTTTCTGGATGGCAAAATCAATTCTTTTGAAAACAACATTTTTAGATCTAGGAGATATGACATTAGAATGCATGACCCGTTGGACTCTATTAAGGAGCTCCACCGCCTCTGGTGCGAGAAAACCAAATGTATCGAATGCAAAAGGAACAAACACATGTTGATTTTTCTCTACATGCATTCTCGTGCTTTACCACTTTGCACGCAACGGCTTTCAAAGCGACATGCCCAGATGTGAAACCCCCGCTCCCCAAACCAACGAGAGGAGAGACCCTAGTAAGATCCACACATGCATGCTCCCCGCCTATCCATCCAGAGACCAAAATGTCAGTCGGTCTAAGTGTGGACCCGCCATCCTGCGGGTCCGTCAAAAAGTTCACTGACGCTTCTTTCTTCACAGAAATACCAGTACGCCGACAAGCATCAAAGAGAACATCCCGAACCACATCATGTCTATACTTGAAACCAGGGAGCTCTCTACAATGAACTACGTGTTCCCCAAAGGTATCCAAACATGCCTTGCGACAAACCGGGCATATCTCGTCAATTAGGAATATGGGAATCATGAGGCGGTAACGAAGGATAGTTCGGTACTCCACGGGAGACATATGCTGGCCAAGACCATCAATAGGGATAGTTAGCATAAAATCCTGAGCATGAGGCGTCCGCAGACACTCAAAGACCGCTTTCTGTCTGACAGTCATGTCGAAGTCGACTTCCATATCTTGGATGATTTTGCTAAAACGGGCACACGCCAAAGCTTTTTGGGATTTAGGGGTGGCGGTGTCTTTATTAGTGAAACCATTACCGTCAAATCCCGGAATCGTATCGCGAAGACGAGTCATAGCACATAGGTAATCCGAGTCCATACCACATATGTCACTGTCACATAAGATGTGGTCTTGTAATGCCCAAGATTGGGCCCTCGAGGCTACAAATGCGTAGGAGGAAACCTCGTAAGCCGAGTACAAACCCAAACCACCGAAACGAATAAGTAAGGAAGCCAAGCGCCATTGAATGTCTCCAAAGAAGGGGCCTCCACATACCACCATATCCTCGATAGACCTGCGCAATCCTTTGTCAAAGAATAACGCTGCCTCTTCTATGTGTACCGGTTGGCATGTCCTTAAACCAAAGAAAAGTTTTGCAATGCGCATACATGATCAAAACAAAAGGAGCTCACTCTGAGGGTCACATAGTTGTGGAAGAAGGCCCATCAAATCAACATCATTGACCGCTCTCTTCATGGCCAACCCGCTAATAAACTTAGCGTCTCTGCTAACACCCCCCCCCCAAGGAGCTTCACCCCCAAAGAAGGTCTCCATATATCCGTTGGTAATAAATCGGCACGAAGCTTCCTACCATCACATGAGGGCCAAAAAATCTCCATTTTCTTGATGTTCAACTCAAGACCCAAACCTGGACCATGCAACCGAATTATGTTCAACACTCTAACCACCTCCTCTGAATCCCTAATGACAGTCCCATCATCTAGAACCAAGCATAGAGAAGGAGCTTACAATTGTCTCTAATCTTGTGCACAAGCGGGTGCAAAACGAGGGCAAAAAGAAAAGGGCCCAAGGGGTCACCTTGCTGCACCCCAGTGGTAGACCATATATTTTGGTCTCCGATATAAAGTCTCGTTGCTTGCCCGTACAAGAAATTCACCCACAAAGAAATGGAAGGGCACATCTTCTTAACCTCGTGGAGCAATACTGATCGATCCACCAGGTTAAAGGCATTAGAAAAATCCACAATCAGCATTACAAGAGACCCATCAACATGGTGTTCACTCAACACCCTATTGGCACTGTGTAACACAGCCTCAACACTGCCAGATACACCAACCCCGAACTGAAAATCATTAAGTTACTTGGCCATTTCTTTACCCACACCTTTCATGGCAACCTTGGAAACCATGCGTCTCCATATAGTGCCTACTGCAATCGGACGGATCCCGTTGTCAGGTTTAAGTAGAGGCGTGAGAGGAGCGGATGCAACAAACTCTGCCAAAATGGTTGGACATCTTCCCGCTAACTATAAATTAACAATTGAAGTGATAGCATGTATGAGATCTGTGGCAATAGCAGACCCTTCTCCATAAAGGGCGTCTAGTAAGTATTGAGCCCTCAAGCCATCTCTCCCGCAAGAAGTTCCTTTAGGAAAGGATTTGATGCAACCAAATACACAGTCAAAGTCTGCTACAAGGGGAGGTTCAGAAATTATGGGGCTCGGCATGGATGGGGGTGGTCTGAAAAGGGTGTTTGTCCTCCAAAGCTTTAATAGTATCACCATTATATGGTGCAACACCCGATTAGCATAACACTTTCACTGTTGCGGTAAAATGACCATCTGCAACCTTACAAAGACACTGTCTGATGTTGGTGTTACTTGATGTAGCCTCCACTCGAAGGATGCCTCCACCTGTCGCATAGCTCCAACCTCAGGATTGTCTAACATATTTTGAACTAACTTCGTGATACCACCCTCTTTCCCCCATGTATCCAAGGACTTCAGGATGGAGCTTTGTTGTAAAGATTTTGAATTCCTAGACCTGCATTCTTATCTATTTTTGGGTCTAAAAACCTGCAGTGTGCATCGGGGAAGAAGTAACAAACACATCCATACCTCAACCGAGTCAGGTTGGGCAATCACCTTGTAAAGAGCGGTCTTCAAAGCCTGGGAGAAAGCAAGACGACAACTATGGGGGATACTCTTGACAGTAGTGATGGGCTCTTTAAAAACACGATTAAGGAGCGCAACATCAAAAACCAAACCTCCAAGAGCATTTATCACCGACTCTTTATTTGACGGCTTTAGAATACCGATAATATAACGACTCGAGCCGTCATCCCCTGTAACAAACCTCACACGACCATCCGGGTTATGACAATAACGACTAAGAGCCTGTAAAGTCATACACTTCCCACACATCTATTGACCAAAGGCCTTCAAAGTTTCTTCCGCTGCTATAAATAGACCAACATCACTGAAAAGAGCTTCACGTAATTAAAAATAAAGGTTTGGTAACTCAAGAAATCACCTTTACTATATTATTTTTGTAAATGTTATTGTTTTTTTATAAAATAATATAAATTCTTACGAAAATAACATCATTTTGCGCAAATACAATTTTATTTTCACAATATGTTACTTACAAGAAGTACATGGGGGCTAATGCACTTCTTGTTCAAATGGATCATGTTCTTGCTTTCGGTCTATATATCCACACTTCCTCTCTCATCCACCCCATACCCATTTCTAGAGAGAGAAACAAAATCCCAACAAACATCAATCCAAAATCCAAATCAAATTTAACAAAACCCTAGCTGAATACATACTTTTCACCCCCATTTCTTAATCTCTCCCTCCCCGTTTGTTTTCCTTGGATCATGTACTACAACTTCTTTCTCTAAAGCCAATCGGAGCCATGACAAGGCGCTGCTCTCATTGCAGTAACAATGGCCACAACTCCCGTACCTGTCCTAATCGAGGTCTGAAGCTGTTTGGGGTTCGAATTACGGATGGATCCATCCGTAAAAGTGCTAGTATGGGTAACTTGACCCACTACACCGGATCCGGAAGCGGCGGCGGCGCTTTCAACAGTCTATCCGGCGGCGGCGGCGGCACAGACCTGGATTCTCCCGGAGACACGCCGGATCATAACGCTGCTGCTGACGGCTATGGCTCGGAAGACTTCGTGGCTGGGTCATCTTCTGGTCGTGAAAGAAAAAAAGGTCAGCGCTTTTTTGTTTTTCCCCTTATAATTCAATGATTATTATTATCTTCTGGGGTTTGCTCGTTTTCATCCTCGTCAACTTCTCCTTTATTAATTTCCTGGATTCATTTTCATTATCGTATGATTATGAGTTCATTGGAGATAATTATCGGCTATATAAATCAAAACTTTTAGTTATCACATTGGGTTTCAGATCAATGATATAAAATTACTATCCAATTCGTTGAATATTTTTAATCTTTAAAATCATTTATATACAAGGATTTGATATTCAATTGGTAAATCTTATCGGATGGATAGTATTGGATTGATGTTGATGTTTGAATTGTTGGTGATATATTTGGTAAATTAGAAACATTAGCCAGAAATAGAAAGTTAGAGATAGTAGCGAGAATGTATGATGAATGGTGTGGGTGTGGGTGTGGGTGATGCAGGTGTTCCCTGGACAGAGGAAGAACACAGGATGTTTCTACTGGGGTTGCAGAAGCTGGGGAAAGGTGATTGGCGTGGGATTGCTAGGAACTATGTGATTTCAAGAACACCGACTCAAGTTGCAAGCCATGCACAGAAATATTTTATCAGGCAAACCAATATGTCAAGAAGAAAAAGACGGTCTAGCCTCTTTGATATGGTTCCGGATGATGTATGGATCTTATACATTTAACATACATGCAATGTATCATTAATGTATTGATGTAATATGGTTTATTGAATTTGTGCAGCCCCTTGATGCTGGCATGAATATGATGGGTTCCCAATCCCATGATGGAGAGACTCAATCTGTGGACAACCCTAAAGTGCGTGTTCCTACAGTGGAGGAAAAAGAAGAAGTGGAAGAAGAAGAAGAAGAAGAAGTTGATGATGACGACGAATGTGAATCAATGGATTCTGCCAGCTCAAACATTGTGGAGCCGGGGATGAAGTTGGTGCAAGAGGCACACTACTGTTACCCTGCTGCCATGTTTCCAGCTTATTATGAGTTCATACCGGTTGCTATTCCCTTTTGGGGTGGGCCCGCACCAGCTAAAACAGAGTCTCATGAGGTTCTTAAACCCACAGCAGTCCACTCCAAGACCCCCATCAATGTGGATCAGCTTGTAGGTTTATCCAAACTCAGTTTAGGGGACTCAATCGGTGATGCTGGCCCCAATTCATTGAAGTTGCTGGGAAGTTTAAGTAGGCAGTCTGCATTTCATGCCTCTTCTTCCTCTTCTTCTTCTTCTGAAAATAATAATAATAATAATAATAATACTAATCCAAGAACAAGTTCTGGTAGCATGGCGGCCCATTCATGCACTGTAGGAGGTTGATTTATATGTATATGCTTCTGAGTTGTGAGGAGATGATGACAAATTCTTGGTATACAGGACCTTTTGCATTTGTAGTTGTTTTATTAATCAGAAACTAAAGCTCCTCATAACGTAATTAAAGCTTGATTGTTAGGAAACGCACCAGTAGTAGTTGTAGTTGGTTTTAGAAGAAAAGCTTTGACTTATATGTGTATCCTTCTGTTGGGCATGGATATATGTTTTAGATGAAGCTTTGGCTTATACCGTATTTATGGACTAAATATCAATAATAATAAATAAAAAAAACATAAGTAATTCTATAATTGCTAAATCGTAAATTTATAAGTCACGGATCCAACAAATTGTGCATTTATGGATGGGTATTTTTTCGTCCATTTAGCTCTTTGGAAAGTGTCAAACCACAACAAGCTTTTATCCTTGTGTAATTCTCCCCTAATATTTTCCCCTTTTTATTATTGTATTCTATATTAATGTGGTATCACTGTTTCTATGGAAACCCCCTTGCGAGATTAATTTTGTGGTGTTTCTCTTCCCCACAATGGCCATACATTGTCCCATCATATGTATGCAAGCTGTAAGATTTTCATAGTCTTTTTGCAGAGTTATAATAGATATTTTTCTGTGCTAATAAGAGTTTTACATCACTTGAAAGAGAATCTCTATCACACATGATGTTTGTGATTTGCATTTCTAAACATTTTATCTTAGTTAATTTCAAATCTAGCTTCTTCTGTGTCTCTAACAATTGTGTGCTAAGTTTCATAGCTTCGTTACTAGCAGACACAACAATTGAATCGAAGTAAGCAAAAGTATCATAAAAAACAACAATTTCAAAATTATATGAACTTAAAAGGAATATTGAAAGATTCAAGAATAGAACGTACCTTCGTAGTTATCAGAGACTTGTCAGCTGATTTGGATACGAAACATTTTTCTGTGACCTCTTCGTCAGAATCATCTTCGAATTTTGCATACGTAACACCATGCGTCGGATTACGCATTTCATCATCATGAGCCCGAAGACCAGATCTGATAAGTACCATCTTCTTCCTGTTCGCCTTTTGCCACCAAAGACATGCCTTTCGCCTTCGCCCTCACTTCTTCTAGCCTCTCCGTGTAGTACACCTCATCCTTCACCTTGTTCTTCTTCTCATCTTTCTTACGAAGCGTACAATCATTCGCAAGATGATTTGCTCAATTGCAATAGTGACAGTCTACTCCTGAGTCTCCTTTCAATTTCTTCTCTCTTTTCTCCTTAGCAACTTTCACATCTTTCTTTTCAATCTTCTTCTTCTCCCCTCCAACAGCCTTGTTCACAAAATTTCCTCTTCCTTCACTCTACCTCAACTTCGGATTGAACGGTTTCTTAAAGAACTTTTTGACTTTTTTATTCGAAAAGAAAGCAATTGCTTAATCATCCGAATTCATTAAAAACCCCTCTTCAGCATTCAAATCACCACTTTCAATTGTTTCTATTTCAGTTACTTTCGAGACGAGTGCCAAAAGACCACCTAGATTAAGCTTCGACTCTTCCGCCATCTCATTAACCTCACTTTCGTGAGTTTTGAGTTGATTATACAAATCATTCAAAGAAGATGTGTCGAAACTTTGCTGATTCTTCACCATCATGCTCATGCTCCTCCATTCTTTTCGGAGTACCATCACAAATGTAATATTGAATTCCATTGCAGAACTTGTGATTCCATATCGATTGCATCGATACATCAGCTCGTTGAAGCGATCATAGTAGACCGCGATTGTCTCATTCTCCTTCTGTCTGAATTCCTTCAGCTCCACCAAACATTGCTTCACAGATTTGATTTTCGTCTTTTCGCTTCCTTAATATTTATCCTTGAGAGTATTTCATATCTCCTTTGCACTCTTACAACCACAAACGTAGTTGTAAACCACTGGTGGTAGTGCACCTCTCAATTCCCTCAGACAACGTTTCTCATTTTTCTTCATTCTTAAAGATTGTTCATCAACAACAGTAGTTGAATTCGAAGATCCAATGTTTTGAACATTTGATCGAAGTTGAGCAGTTCCAGTGATGCAATTCCATAATTCTTCATCTAAACCATATAGATAATCCTCCATTCTATCAGCCCATTGGTCATAATATTCTAGAATCAACATTGGAATTTTAGTAGAAGATCCTAACAGATGTGAGAAAGAAGTCATCGTGTTCATGTTGAAATTCACCATTGTTGTACAGATTTGAATTTTCAAAAAACTTGAAGAAATTTGTATTTGACTGAATGAATTGAACTAGAACTCAAAAACAAACACTCGATTAAGAAAATACAATGCAAAATCAAATTAAAACTTATGATCTGTGATGTTTTTCTGAATCTCAGTTATGATTCTTACTCTAATACCAATTGATGAAGTCTTAATCGAGTAAAGAGAATCAAATCAAAGAGTAAAAACGATATGAAATGAACACGAGATGTAAATATGATCTTGTTTCAGCTCTATTATACTTCCAAAGTTTTGCAGAGAGTAAAAAGACAAGTTTTGTAAAGACTCTTATCTAACTCTAAGTAAAGTCCCTACTTATAGAAAACATGAAAGTATACAAAAAATACTAAGACATTGACATTTAAGCTTCGAACATTTAGATGCCTTAGTAAATATACTACAAAGTACACGAAGGGTATAGTCTTCGACTCATTACAAAATGTCTTCGACCCTTACACAATCATAATGCGAAAGTTCTAGTTTCGCTACGAAAGTCTTAACAATGCAATGACTGCAAAAAGGGGAATTTGAAACGGCTATTTTAAAAATATAAGATTTGATTTGGGCGTGTGATGATTTGAACGGACGCCTACTTTACCGCCGCCTGACACACGTCTCTGACGTCACAACTGTAAGTCATGCTTTTCCAGGCACCTTTTTAGGAACCGATACACTCTCTCTCCGGATTTCTCTCACCAAACAAATGGTATTAATTGTTTTGGTGCTTCATCTCTCCTCACCACTCACATACTCTCTTAAAGATTTCCAGCGATTAAAGAAATCTACTATTCATCTTCTTTCTCAAGAAGTCAACAATGGCAGGATCCTTTGAAGCTCCATCTGCTCACGATCAAACAACACAATCATCCCTTCTCACTATCAAGCCAAATCAAAATCTGCTGCTCGATCTTGATCCGTTCAAATACGACAACTATCTTCTTTGAATCGTTGAATGTTTGAAGTACTCTCCTCTTGTTACTGCTCTAACAAAAATGGAGAATGTCCCGATGTCTCTTTTATCCAAGGCTTATTCGTCTACACGTTAAATCAAGGAAGAACAGAGGATCATGTTTGAAATCCACAACAGGAAAACTTCAATCATCAAATCTCAATTTTGTTCTATTTTAGGGCTTCCTCAAACTGACGACATGATTAATCCAGAATCGATCACCAACGCAGCCCTATTGGAGATGTTCTATCAAATGGGGTACAAAGAAACCCTAAACGCCGTCTTAAAGTTCCGGAAACCTAATTTACCACCACAGTGGAATGGTCTCTTCACCCTGTTGTACAAGGCCTTCTCTAAGAGAGTCACTGGCTCCGATTGTGCAAGAAAGCTCTTTATGGCGATTATCTATGGGGCTTACATCGTGCTCAATGTCGATTTTGGGGCTATTCTCCGGGCTCAAGTTATTCAGAGCACTCACTCTACTTCCCGTCACAGTGAAATCTCATGTGCATGCTTCTAGAAAACCTTTGTTCAGAGAGCAATCAAGAAGCGTCATGTTCTGGTGATGCAAGACGCATTAGTGGCTACCATTTCAAATTTTCACACTATTGGGATCATTGTTGCTGACAACTCAAAATTCTCATTTGTGGGTTCGATTTTAGAGGCAATGTTCCATGATGTACCTGTAGCAAGTAAAATTCTTGAAGCCTATCGGAAACTTCCTGTTTCAGGGTTTTGTCCCTTAACTCCAAAGATGCAATCCATTATTACTGAAGCAGACAAGTCCAAAAAAGGGGTCCGAAAGGGGTAAGAAAGGGGAAAAGACAAAGGGTGCTCAAGAGGGCCCATCTGCTCAAACTCAAACCCCAAAGAAATGAAAATGTCAGACTGATCCACCTGAACCAAAGAGGCGAAAGGTCAAGAAGTCGGCTTGCAAGTCCAAGTCCCCAACTCCAACTGAAAGCGAACATTCGCAATCTGACACTCAATCTGATGTTCGCCTTGAGGAGGATGAGGATGTTCACAATGAAGACGTTACATCGAACCCTAAAGTAACCAACTTACAATGATTTCTTTCCATATCCTCTTCATTCACCCAAAACCACGACCACACCAATAGCCATTGAACCATGCCCAAAACTAGTCCCTTCTTAAACACAGGGTGGTATTCCTTTATCTACTCCATTATTTTCTGATTCCACTGCTCCACCAACAACATCAGTTGCACCTACTGTTTCTGTCAACGCATATGATGCGAGGGTAAGAGCATCAGATTTTACAACTACTCATATCCCACCACCTATTTCCCCACTTCGCCAAAGTGACCCATATATGATTTTTGGTGATGACGAGATAAACTTTGCAGGATTCACCTTCAGTCCATTCAACATCAGGATTGAAATTGATGACGAAGCTTCAGTCACGAGGGGGTAACTCAAGGCCATACATGAACTTGATTCGTTGCTTCATGCTTCAAAGCCTTCATCAACTGATGATCATTCTCAAGCTATAGTCAAGTCCGTCCTTGATACACTTACCAAAGAGAACTCAACAAATATTGAGAAAATGAAGAAGGCAGTAAATGCCTTTGCTACTGTCTGCAAGAACACAACCGAAAAAGTTGATAAATTAATTTATGATGCCACAGCTTTCATAAATAACTTCGAAACCTCCTTTGAGTCCAATACAACGCAAGCTAATGAAGCCATCTATAATCTCGACACCTCTCTCAAAGCTGAAAGTGCAAAATTTCAAGAAGTTCGTACTGGCATTAAAACTAACCATGATGAGTTCAAATCATCCATCTCCT